CTGAAGTAAAGTGAATTTTACGAAGAAAAACTCGGAAACTTGAACGAGCTCACTTGAATAATCCCACGAAATTGTAGGATTTTATGAGTTTGAGAGCGGCTCCAGTCTCACCGTTCTCGAGATGCTTCGAGATCGCTATAATAACACTCAGTTGAGCATCATTCGAACACGCATTCGCTCGCATTCTACACAAACGTGCCTATAAATGAATGCGCAATAAAGGAGTACAATGCAAACATCAAACGCAAATCAAATTAAACTTCTTCCTAACCTTCACCCAGTTCTGTTCAATCAAATAATATGCCAGCAATTGTGAGTAGAATTGTGCTGACAACTCTTCCACATTCTCAGTTTGCAACTCTTTTTGTTCCAACATCATGATTTGCGTTCCAAACGAGAGTTCATCCTGAAAACTTCTTTATCTTATTAATGCACACAAATAATCAATTCCCTCATTTGATCATCAGCACTTCTCCTGTCCTCGGTGAATAACTTTTGTTACTGTTCAGATGCTCAGATCAATAAATATAAACGCCAAATGATAGCAGCGATGCTCATAAAGGCGAGTATCAGAACAGACAAAATGACCAAAATCTGAATGCTGACATAAACTCACATTAGTCTCCATTTGTGACGGTGACGGAGGCTGTACGGTCGTCAGTACTTGACCCGGTTCATCACCCACACCAGAACCCGCTCCTGACTGCAGATGAATCGCTGGTAGACTATCTTCAGCGTCCATCGTTAAATTATCATCTGCAATTGAACAGTCGTTGTCCATTCATCAACTCACATATGTATAAAACAGCGCAAATGAAATATCCTCTGTTGACGCCTTAAGCTCAGAATGTCTTAACGATGCGTTATTCAGACAATTTATATAAACGCCCATGGTTGAGATGCTCTTCAAAAATATCTTTTTTAATCACTTAAATTAACACAAAACTTTTCCCAAACTCAATATTCATCATATACTCTTGCCGCTGTCCAAGACTGCTCTTATTGTTAGACTCTTCTTCAAACTTCAGATAAAATATGATCTTCTGCTGACAATGAGAACAATCTCATGTTTCTTAAATGAACTCAATCAAAACTGACGTTCGTTTCATGCGATAAACAATTTTCAGCGAATTAAACGAGTGAACCAACCGCTTGCAGCTGGCACTACCGCAGGACTGCTACCAGCTGACAGAGTGCCTCCTTGGCTACCTTGAGAAGCCGCCGCACCTCCGACATCCAGTTGCGCAATTACTGACGATCCGATATCGGGCACTTCAGACATTTTCAACCCCTTCGATCCAGAGATTCTGGAATCCCGGAATTTCAACTTCTTTATTTCCATAGCAAGAATATTGACACGATAGACCCCTAACGATTCAGCACTTCATTCAAATCACCCAAATTTTGTCGAAAACGTTAGTTCAATGAAACATCAAACCAATATTGTCATCAATAACTGTAACGTTATAAAAACGTGAATTTAGGAAGTATCAACACAAACAAATATTACCATTGAATAACTTTATTACTCAATCAGTCATTACACACTTCAATTAATTAATACAAAACCTTGTCACAAAGGACTGTACGTATTTGTGAAGGTTCTTTAAAAAGGTTTATTAAATGTGGTTATAGAACCTTCAGAATGAAATCACATACGCGTATGAAGTAATCACTTCGAAAAACATCAATCAACGACATCTTCAAATCACAACACAATTCATTTCACTTCGAAAAACAAAAACAATCGCTATATCCTGCAATTTTCATGGAATAATCAAATTCGTTAATGAGCCGAGGTACTTTAAGAAAAAGACAACACAGAACAAGCAAAAAAGCACATGAAACGAAACACAGCTCCAATCGCAACAGCAAAAATAACAATAATGATAATAATCGTAATGGTGCACTAATCAAAGTTCAACAATACAATCCACTCAACATTCCGATTTCATTAGGAGAGAAAGCCAAATCTACCATTCAGGTTTCTTCAATGAATTCGAAATATCAAGTTTCGAAGTCAAAATAACCAAATGAAATTCAAAAAACCTTAAGTAATAAACGCATTTACACATTTACGAAAGAAGTAGTTATAAGAGAGGTATTCAACGATTACAATCAAAACAAAAAAAAAACAAACAAAACAAGACTGCCAAACGAAACAATCAAATAACGATCATTACATGACGGATTATTACAAAAACACCTCAAATGTACTCAACACAAACGTAAAGTACAAAAACTGAACCAAAAAAACACACAATTCTTAACCACTTCACAAAACAAACTTCTCTCTTACAATAGAAATCAATCA